AGCTGGGGGAATACACTTGCTGCAAGAGCCGGCAGAGGGAGGTGTAGCCAGGCAGACAGGGCCACACACCAAGCTTTGGCTTCAGCAGACAGTAGCCCAGTGGTGACTTTGCCCTTGAGCTGGACTTGCAGAGGCCAGTAGTAAAGTTCCTTTTCCTTCACTGAGCATCCACTGGGTTGGCCAACTGGAGAGTGGACCTTACTGACCTATACAGGGGGAAGAAGACAAGCAACCAGGGATTTGATGAGAGCTTTGACAGGGATTTGCCGAGAGCTGGAGGTCCCCCACTTGGGACTGCCTGCAACACTGGTGCTGGGGTCCACGGGAGGCCTTTGCCTTACCAGGGCATAGAGCCTACTGGATTTTTAGAACCTGGGATCTTGGGAGCACCTTCTTGCTAGACACCTCTTCATTGCTGGATGGGTCGTCCCATTTGCTGCACCTGCCCAGCAGCTTGGGCAGGAGCCCTGGCCCGCAGATTCCAGGCCCCACCCTGGGTTCAGACCCAGGGCAGGAGGCTCACTGTTGCCTCCACCCGCGCCACTGAATCTTGCCTCTCACAGCCCCGTTATCTTTAAAGCACAGATGACTCCCCATTTCAGGCTTGGGCTAACTGTGAGGCTAGAGGAAAACAGAGACTGTGAAAGGGGCTTTGAAAAACAATAAATGCCACCCAATTCCTGGGAATATCATGCCAATGGTGTGTGTACTTAAATATGATACTTGCCAGGTTCTGTCTTGCGGTGGAGGTACTTGCTTTTTTCCTCCCCAGGGAATGCCTTCCTCACTCTGAACTACGACGAGAGTTACTTCGTGGATTTGGTCTCTTTCCTTTCATCTGTCGTCCTTTGGGTCTCTTTCAGAGGGCCTTCTGTGTAGTGGTGCCTTGGTCTTGTTGAACAGGTTCACTTAGAATAAGCCAGCGTTATCTTGGTCCAACTTCCCCATTTCCCATCACTGAAGCACTAATTGAGAAAATTCTGCATGGCTATATGCCTCTCCCAACACACACATATTAATAGGAGGCATAGAGTGTGGTTTATCAAAGAGCTACCATTCTAAACCTACTCTTTAAAACTATTTTCTTTGCATGAAATGTGAGGAATATAGATTCAGATATAAGAAATGTCACAAATGGAGAAGAACTGAAAAATCAAGTTTTTATGAAATCAGTTCAATGCCGCTAAGGAGAAAGTAAGAGCACAGACCTAGACTTGTTTATTTAAGTCCACACTGGCGTGGTTTGGGTCCCTTCTAGGATTTCCTGGAGCCCTGTGGACTGCTATTCACCATCCACATATGCATATATAAAAATATACCATCTATAAATAGCTACCTGCCTTTTCAGTGAAATTAAAGATGGCAGAGTTAGGAGAGATTTTTCCCAGCATAATTACAGGGCTCAAACCTACAGCTGTTAGACCACTGTGGTCCAACCCAGAGGAGTTCTAATATCACTGTGTATATCAAGCACATTCTGAAAAGCTATTTGTTTCATGATAAGATGTTAACAGGACATTCTTTTTATTTATTTATTTATTTATTTGCCAAGATTTCTCACCTACCTAACTTAAAAAGATTAGATGTTAACAGGACATTCTTTTTATTATTATTATTTTTTTTTTGCCAAGATTTCTCACCTACCTAACTTAAAAAGATTAGGTGTCCCATAGGGGGTTGCTGTGTAGACTGCTTTTGTTTTGTAAACTGCAGAAATTTTTCACAAGTGTTTCAGCTTCTTATCTGGGGATTAACACCAAACTCTTGCCAATGTTTTTCTTAAACTTTACACATGCCCTTTCACAAACACTGTTCCACACCTATTTTCTGCCCGAGATGCAAGTGCTTAAAAAAAAAAAAAATCCCGGATCTTCTAGAATGCTTAGATGAGGATTGCCTGTCTGAGAGCTCACCTCGATGGGAAGGGAATTATACTGATCACGTTTCTCTTACAAAACACAGGGGATGGCAATTGATTCAGAGGCTGGCTTTGTTCCCCCTGTGGCACACTGACCTGCTGTCTGAGTGAGCACCCTGTAGCTCCCAGAGGAAGGGCCTGAGTACCTTCAGTAGTTCATTTGCAAGAAAATAAAACAACAGCAACCCTTTGGGAACTTCCCACCTGCTTTAAAAGCAAACATAAGCAGTGTTCCCGGACTAAAAGGTGTCATTTTATGAGCAAAAACTGAATAAACCCCACAAAACCTAAAGTGAGGTTATTGTTTTTTTTCCCTCCCTTCCTTGATGCCACACTCTTGCTAGGGTACAATGACTTCTCAGCCTTTGTGATGTTGGAAACCCAGGGAATCTTCAAGAAACCCAGGGCTTCTTGGCCCTGTGGCTTCCCCCTCCTGGACAGAAGTGCAGGGCTGCTGGTTTTCTTTGCACGCGGTTGTGAAGCATGCCAGCCGGGTGTGTGCGCCTGTTAATTAAAACAAAACCAGGACTGTGTTCTGCTGTGCTTTAAAATCCAGAAACTTCCAGTCGACGTGGCGCAAGGGAAACCATGGCAAGAGGCCGTGGGACACATAGGCTCCTGGGTGAATACCGTGCTCCTAAGGCTGACAGAAAATTGCCCAGTATTCAAATGCCTTGAGCAGTTCCCCGAGGGACTGCTTTAGTATCAGACGCCTGGACAGTGCCGTGGTTCCCTGCCCAATCTGATTCCAAAGTTAGCCTCTTCTACAAGAGGACACGGCAGCGTCAGTGGCTTCTGAGGCCATGCCAGGGTCAGGCGTGGAGTCTATTCCTGCCCAGCTGCTGAGTCACCGCCATCCCAAGGAGCTGCCTGCCCTCTGGTTCAGCTTACCTAGAAGGTAGAGTGAAGCCTTGAGCTAAAAAATGCTTCTCAGGAAACCTCTACCATCACCTGAGCTAACAATTTAGATAAGGCACGTTAGGACACAAAAACAATACAAAAACAATCAGTCACAAAACAAAACAAAAAAAAACCCACAGAATTCTCCCCAAGGAAAAAAACAACACCTGAAAAGCAGAAAATAGCAAAAACGTCTTTAAATCCTCTTTCAAATACAGACTCCCTCTCCAAAGGGTGGTAAACACGCAGATCAGACAGCATCTAAAAGGGATGCTTATTCAGTACTTTCAATAGGCAGGATGTGAAAAGGCTTAGGGGTGTTAGGGGTGTGTGTGGTGGGGTGGTGTGCAGGGAGACAGGAAACATCTACAACATAAAAAGTAAAATAAAATAAAGGACAGTCCAGGCATTCATTAAGCTCTGAGCTTTAAGAGGCAGAGAGAAAAGACCTCAACAATCAATACCATCCTTTTATGTCCTTTTCTTGGGGGACACACCCAGTAGTGTCCTTCCATGCCTTCCTTCCAGAACACAAAGTTCGGTTCACTAACAAACTGAATAAACGTTCACTTTGTATTTAAAAAATTTTTTATTTGTGATCTGTACACGTGATAAAGTGGGGCTTCATTGTAGACTTTCAAAGGCAAAACAAAACTCCAAAGTAAAAACGTATAAATACAATATATATCTTCTTACAAAAATGGGAGATTTACAAAATATACATACTGCACTTGTCTCTATTTTACAAATTTCACATGCACCTTAAGAGATATAACGCAAAAGCTGATAAAAACTGGTGTAGCGGGAGTTTAAAAATTCTGACACGAGACAGTTATGAAAATCTTTGAAACACAAGACCATTTTCTCTGCTGAATATGGAAGCAGCTCCACTCAACTGAGCGCTCCGTACCGCAAGTAACTTGTTCCGTAGGCAGTACCCTCTGATTTGGCATTTAAGAAACAGGATAGCCCTGCAAGATTGGAGGGTAGTGTCAAAGGTGGGGGGGAAGGTTAACTCCCATGATTCTCTGCTCAGATTGACACCATTATGCAAAAGAATCTGAGTTCTACTACCAAGAAAGAAAGTACATGATTTAAGATGAATAAATTTTAAGTCTCCCAGCACATTTCAAAGAACTCTAGGATCACTTTGAAGTTTACCTTCTTCTAATGACTTTTTATAAAAAACGGGTCCCGGGTTCAAACTTTCGTCTCTGTTTGCCAGCATTTCTGCAGCAGTTACATCCATCCAACTGCAGAGGCAGGCGGGGTCCACACACACACACACACACACACTCTCACACACACTCAATGTTCTATAAACAGATTTATGAAACCAGGATAAAATAGATAAACTGATTCCCTAGCTTTTTTTCTTTTTTTTTTTTTAAGAAAATCTTTTCTTTGATTATGATGCTGAAGGGCATGATGCTTTTCCTTTTATCTTGAAGGATCCAAATCAGAAAGGGGGGGGGGAATTGGAAAACCTACACGTAGGCTTATAGCAGGAAGAAACGAAGGGGCAGATTTCCCTGAACATGTGAGCAGAGCTTGTTGGATCATGTGTTCTGAATTAAACTGACTTAAAACAAACAATAAAACGTCCTTAGGTTTCCTTCAGCCAAGTCAGAACCTCTGGCTGAACCGGGTGTGGACGCACACCGTCCTTCACTTTTCCTTAAAAAGGAATGTTTATCTCAACCAAATTAACAACCAAAGGGAAACCTCAGGTTTGCGCTGCTTTGCCTGTAAAAGTTGCGGTCTTCACAGTTACGCCTTTCCACAGGGAGACACTTTGGTTTCCTCTTTTGTCTCTTACAACAAAGACAGGAGTGGGGGTTGGGGGGAGAAATGCATTCCTGTTTTGAAAAGCAACAAGTCACCACATCTTTTCAGGGTCCTAAAGGAAATAAAACACCCTCTTTTCAGTCTCCTGCCTTTCCCCAAAAGATGACAAAGTAGCAGAATGTCCCCAAGCACTCCGTTACCCCGGGCTCGTCCTGAGACCTTCTTGTCATTTCCTTCGCATCTTCACATTAGGATTCCGCCAGGCAGGCCTCCCAGTACTTTCACATTCTCGGTTTACAAGACTTGAAAGGAGTCGGGGAGCACAGACAGGCGGGAGGGGGCGGGCAGGGACAGAGGGTAATGCCTGACCCTGGAAATTAACCCATCTGGGCTCCAGTTTGGCCCCAGTGAAAAGAGATTATGGTTTGACCACCGCCTGACAAGAACGCTGCAGGAGGCCCTCCCTCTTCTCAACAAAGCAGCCGGCCAGGGCGGGGGCTGCGCCTCTCCCCCAGGCCTCACCGCAGTGAGGACAGGCCACTTGCCTTGCAGCGGGGGACAGCCCTGGGCCCCGCTGGGCCCGCAGCCGGGAACCCCACAAGTCTCTACTAGTGTCAGTCTGCTGAGGCCCAGGCCGGCCATACCGTTCACCATTCACAGCATCAGAGGCCTCATCGCCATCATCATCGTCTTCCTCAGTCTTGGCCACAAGTGTTTTTTTTTTTTTTGTCCAAACCACTTTCCACCTAGGTCTCCCTTCCAACTCCTACTCCTACCCCAACCCCTCCAAACTCCCTCCCCCAAATCTGTAAATAACTCCCACCCAGGTCACTTCTCTGGGCTGGGGGTTTAGGGGCGAGGGGTGACCCAAACAAGCCCCCAGCAGCAGTCTCCCTCCCCCTCCGGGGGAGGCGGGCGGGGGAGGGGCCGGGGCTCATACCGCAGTCTCCCCCTTGCTGCTGTGGCTGAGTCTGTGGTAGAAGCGGCGCCACGACTGCAGGGTTTTGCCCGACCAGATCCAGAAGCCGGTGGTGATGCCTACGATCATGGTCATCAGGTACTTGATCATGAAGACCGTGAAGTCGGGGCTCATGGGCGGGAAGTGGCCGGGCGGGCAGGGCACGGCGTAGCTCTTGCACGTCTGCAGGAGCCAGGTGCGCTCCCAGTGCTCGCGGAAGGCCTGCTCATAGAAGTAGCAGGCGAGCACGATGGTGGCGGGCACGGTGTAGAGCACGCTGAATACGCCGATGCGCACCATGAGCTTCTCTAGCTTCTCGGTCTTGGTGCCGTCGTGCTTCATGATGGTGCGGATGCGGAAGAGCGACACGAAGCCCGCCAGCAGGAAGGACGTGCCAATGAACAGGTAGACAAAGAGCGGCGCCAGCACAAAGCCCCGCAGTGCGTCCACGCTCGACAGGCCCACGTAACACACCCCGCTGAGCAGGTCCCCGTCCACCTGTCCCATGGCCAGGATGGTGATGGTCTTGATGGCGGGCACGGCCCACGCGGCCAAGTGGAAGTACTGTGAGTTGGCCTCGATGGCCTCGTGGCCCCACTTCATGCCGGCCGCTAGGAACCAGGTGAGGGACAGGATGACCCACCAGATGGAGCTGGCCATGCCGAAGAAGTAGAGCACCATGAAGAGGATGGTGCAGCCCTCCTTCTTGGTGCCCTGCGCCACCGTGCGGTAGCCATCCTCCGAGAAGCGCTCCACGCACACGGCGCGGTCCTCCAGCAAGAAGCCCGCCACGTGCGCCACGGCCACCATGAAGTAGCAGCCCGACAGGAAGATAATGGGCCGCTCTGGGTAGCTGAAGCGTCGCATGTCCACTAGGTAGGTGAGCACGGTGAAGAGCGTTGAGGCGCAGCATAGAACGGACCACACACCCACCCAGAGGCGGGCGAAGCGCCTCTCCTCCTCCTTGAAGTACATGAGGCCATTGGCACGGCCCGGCTCGCACGGGGCGCCACAATCGCGCTCACCCAGGAAGCGGTAGCCCAGGTAGGGCGGCACTTTGAGCTGGCGGGGACACGAGAAAGGAAAGGAGGAGCGGCCCCTGCCGTCCGCAGCCCCTGGGGGCAGCGCGGTGAAGGGCAGGTCCGGCAGGTAGGGTGCGGTAGGATAGGCGGTGGGGCCGCCGCCCGGGCCCCCGGAGCCGTCGGACGTGTTCTGGCCCACGCAGATCTCGCCGGCGCCGTGCACCGGGAAGTTCTCGCAGCGCAGCCGCTCGGGCCACTGGAAGCCGAACTTGTTCATGAGCGCCTCGCAGCCCTGGCGAGCACGCTCGCACAGAGAGCGGCACGGCGGGATGGCCTGGTCGAGCACGGTGCACACGGGAGCGTACATGGAACACAGAAAGAAGCGCAGCTCAGGCGAGCACTGCACCTTCACCAGCGGGTAGAACTGGTGCACCTCGAGGCCCGCGTCCTCTTGGTTCGTGTGGCCCAGCAGGTTGGGCAGGATGGTCTGGTTGTAGGCGATGTCCGTGCACAGCGGGATGGAGATGGGCTGGCAGAAGCCGTGGTCCGGCACCGAGATGCCCTTCTCGCCGTGGTAGGGCTGCGCCCCGGCGCCCGCGGGCAGAGCGCCCAGCAGCGCCAGCAGCAGGGCGCACAGGCCCGGGGACGAACGTGACACGGCCGCGCCGGAGCCCCGCATCGCCGGCCCCGAGTGCAGCAACGCTCTCAGTCTAGGGAGTGAGACGAGGCGGCTGGGAGAGGCTTGGCTGCGGAGAGGCGCCGCCGCGCCCGGCGCATGAGAGTCCTCCAGGCGCCGGGGCCGGGCCGTGGGCGGCGCGGAGCCGAGGGCGCTGCCGCTGGGGTGCCTGCGTCGCGGGGGCGAGGCCCGCCAGCCGCGGGGACGCCGCAGCCGCCTCCGCCCGGCACCCGCGCGACGCCGGGGGTCCCCCAAACTCGTCGGTTTGGGCAGGGGGCGCGGAGCTGGAGGGGGCGGCCCGGCCTTCTCTGCCGAGACGTAACGGTGCGGCTTCTTTCTCCGCGGCGAGGAGCAACAAGCGTCTCCGGCTCCCCTTCAAAGTTTGCCCAAGTCTCTCGACACCCCCCCCGGCCCCAGTGCACAGTGACGCGCACGCCCCCCGCACCAAGTCCGGCCCCCACCAGGCCCGGGCCGGCGCCGCCGCCGCCGTCGTCTCCGCCGCCGCCTCGGAGGTGCTGCTCCGCCTCCTCGCCTCGAGGCTCGGCTCCCCGCCGCCGCCTCCTCCTCCTCCTCCTCCTCCACGCCCCGCGCCCTTCTTCGGCCCCAAGTTTCAGCCCCACCGGCTGGCTCTCGCGGAGTCCCACCGGCGCCTCAGAGCCTGGAGTCCGGCGACTCGTGTGGGGGAGCGCAGTCCGTCGGCGTCTGAAGCAGCGAGGGCCCCCTGCGCCCGCAGCCTGAGCTCGGCCTCTCCGGCCTCGCGCAGCTCTGGCCCTCGGGAGTCCCGACGCCCGCCCGCCGCCGCCGGCCGCCGAGAAGGAGCGCCGAGTAACGCCTGGGAGCCGCGCCGGTGGCCTGAAGAAGCGTCGGGCTCGCGGGACTCGGCTGACCCGCCCCCTCCCCTCCCCCCATTCACAAACCACTCCGGGGGGCGGTGCCCGCGCCCCCTAGAAGCCCAATGGCAGTCTTTGTTTTCTCTGGAGTCGCCTCCGGATTGGGTGGAAGTCGGAAGGGGCGGGCGAGGGAACGGGGTGGGGACGGTGACTGCGGTGCTCTGGGCGGATTCCTGAGGGGAGGGGCGGGGGACCGGGAGGGAAAAGTTGGAAAAAACTTTTACCCTGAATTCACTCAGGGGGAGAAAAACGCACCAGAAGGAGAGTTTACGTGAAAGATTTGTCCCTCTTTTAACTGCACTGAATACACACTCCTGGGCAGAAGGGATCGTTCGCCACAGGGTTTTTGCCTGGGAGAGCTGAGAAGAACGCCGCGCCTGGGTCGGGGAACTACTGGAACCCGGAGTCACCTCAGTCCCGGTCCCGGCTGAAAACGTGGGCTTTGGCCGAGGGGGGCTCGGGGCAGCGGAATCCTAAGGGTGCGGTTCGAGACGGGATGTGAAGGGGGCGCGTCTTGAGAATGGCTTTTTAGCCCCCTACCCCGCTCCACCCCAAACCCAAACAGACCGCGTGAGGCCGCGGTCCCCTCTCCCCTCCTCCTCTCCGAGTTGTAGAGGGGAGGAGGGGCGGCCTCAGAGGAGAAACCGGAGTTGGCCGAGGGGGCCGCGGGAAAGCAGCAGGAAGTGCAGACCCTCCAGGAGAGAGCCGGGAAGGGGGGGCCCGGGTCCTAGGCCGCTCCGCCCGCACGCGCGGCCGGGCCCAGCGTCTGCCGCGCTGATGTGGCCGGAGCGCGGCAGAAGGAGACCGAGACGGCGCGGGGGGTGGGGTGGGGGGGAGTTATGAAAATAACCTGAGCCCGAGTGCTCGGAACACTCCGCACCGCCTCCCACAGCCTCTGAGGTGGCCCGGTGCTCCTTAACTTCTGCGGGCCTGCGGCCTGTGGGGAGCCCGTTTCGTTGAAGGAGAAGAGTCTGATTTAGCATTTGGAATCTGCCCAGAAAAGTTGCCATGCGTGTGTCAGACACCAGTACGATCGCTCAAGGGAAGAAGAAAAGTGTTTCCAAATCCCCGAAGAGGGGTTCCCCCTTGTTCCCGGGAGCGCGTCCTGATTGGCAAGCGTTCTTTTGTTCTCGAACAAATCTGCCTCCTGCACTGTGCTCGGGGGCGCTCACGCGCTGGCGGGGTCGGAAGTGGCGAGGGGGCTTCTCCCCTTTTTGGGGGGGCAGCAGGGGATGCCAGGAATCCCTTGCAGGCAAGTTACGTAAGTGATGTGCTGAGGAAGAATCGGGGTGGGGAAGAAAAGCTAGCCCCCGCCGCCGCTCTTTCTCTGTAGAACCCCTTGCTTTCCATTCTTTCTTCTGGCGAGGGTCCCAGGAGCTTCTGACCGAGTCGGGCGGCGGCTGAGGTTGCCGACCCCAGTGCGCGGCTTCTGATTCTGGAATCTCAACCGTGTTCATCGGAGTTCCCTCCATAGCAGACTCGAATTTCCTCTGTCTTCTGTGATCCCTGACGTCTGCTGGGCAGCCTGCCCACTTGACGGTTCTTTGTCGCTTCCCACTCCTGCCGATCCATCCACAGAGCTTCAGGCTTTGAATCCAGCGAGGTTGCCAGACTGCTGGCCTCCTCGCCCTCTCCCAAACAGAACAGTGTCCTTCTCACTCCCGTGCATCACTTTCCCCTCAGTCTCAGACTGTTTTTTTGCGGGGGAGGAGAGGGGATGTCTGCCTCAAGGTCATATGAAGGAGTAGTAATACGGGATCCCCCCACCCCACTTTCCTTTAACTATCACCTTGGTTCCCTAACCTCAGGGAGCGTTGCTATTTTGTGAGAGGGGGCTGTTTAAAAGACAATGCGGCCCCTTTGCTTTGTCCTTGCGAGTGTGTATGGTAGAGCCTCAAGTTCCTTTTCTCTCCCCGTGAGCCTCAGGGTAGTCACCCTTTCTGAATCAGATTTTCGTGCTTATTCATCAGGCCACTGATCTAAGTTATCTCTGCTTAGGGAGGGAGACATGGCGAGCACTGTCGTCAATAAAACGAAAACTGACAGCTAAAATGCTGTCTCTAGTGCAATGACAACCAGTGTAGCTGATGAACGGGGACTCCTCATGCTGCAGCCCAAAGCCCACCGCTGTTAAGTGTAAGGGGACTAAGAGAAAAGAGAGCCTTTAAAAGTACAATGAATGAGATATTTTTTTAAAAAAAAAATCTGCACAGAGGATACAGAAACCCCATCCCAGATGGTAAATGTCACAAATATATGCACTAAGAGAAATTGTTTTAGATTGTTTTGTTTTCAAAGATGGTTTTTCCCCCTAAACCTTCATGTAAAATTACTACCCCAAATTAGACTTTGCTGATTGTGAGTGGGTACCATAGCTATCCATGCTTTGCGTGGAATAGAATGCTGTGATTTCAAGGCATAAAGAAGGAGAATATATCATAACAAGTCAATTCACAGTATAAGGGGCTAAATAGTGTGTTTGCAGCTCCACAACAGATGTAGCCACATTGGTGTGCTCTCTGTCCAGGATCTGCTGAATTCTTTATTTCCAAGCAATGCCTACCACACCCAGCCCCCAAAGCCACTCATTCCTGTCTTCTTTGGAGAGCCCAGGGTGGAAAATTTTGTAACTGTCTGCAGCAAAAAACTTCCAGTCCTCCCTGCCCTTTAAAATAACATAGGCCTTTATTTCTTCACATCTGTTCATAGAGTTCCACAGAAAAGTGTTGGTATTCATTGGCTCCGGTTTTCCAAATGCTACTTATTTTGGCCACATCCCAGGTTTATCTACATTCTGATGTCAGGTCAGATTTGAAAATGGTCACCTCCTTAGTGCCACAATTGTGTGGTGGTAATGAAACTCTTAAGCTGCAAGAATGACTCATGTATGACCAGAAAGTTTAGCTTTTAACAGGGCTTCTCATTCCAGCCTCCCTTACCAGACCATTTTGACCTTGAGGACTTGGAATGTTCAGTCAATTAATGGCAGGTTGCCACTAATTGGAGCTCATTGTTTTGTAGGGTGTTGATCATTCCTTGGGAGGGGAACATTCTTATCCCCAAAACAGCTTGAAGTTTTCTGAATGTCTGAAGTGTCCAGATTGAAGACCGGGAGAGCCATGTTTTCATTACTGGAGGAGTATGGGTCCCTTTCTATAGAGATGCTTTGTTTAGTAGGTTCTGGCCACTAGATCTGTTGACCTCTTTATTGTTGAGCATTTTGTTAAAAATGGATTATAGTGTAACAACTGGAAGTCTGGGATCTTAAAACAATGAATAGTTAGTATCCCATAGTTTCTGTATGTCAGGAAGGTGTGTCCTTAGCTGGGGCCTCCTGCTTGGTCTGTCACAGAGCGCGGTGATGTTGATTGGATCTACAGTTGCTTCAAGGATATGGACAGTTATCAGTCAAATCAGTTCCTTGCCATGTGAGCCTCTCATGAAGCAACTCATGATATGGCATCTGAAAGGCGGTGTGATAACGGGGGCAGGGGAAGACAGACACACAGGTAGTAGAGTGACTACATTACAGGTAGTAGGTAGTGGGAGAAATGCTGTCATCCGTGGGTTCATTCCTCAAATGTTTGCAAAACTGGGGCTGGGCCAGCCAAAGCTGGGAAATAAGAACTCCATCCTGTTCTTGTGACTGGCAGGAACCCAATTACTTGGGCCTTTACCTGCCGCCTCTAAGGTACATTAGTAGGAAGCTGGATCAGAGACAGAAGCAAACAGGACTCCATCTCAGGCACTGTGATATAGTCTGTGGATGTCCGAAACAACAGATTAACCTGCCTCACCACACTGCTCACACCTACAGAGGAGGTGAATGCAAACTAGTTTTGTTCTGCTTTTTACCATCCATGTGCATGTTCTGGCCCTGGTGAGTCACTTAACCTCCCTCATTCCCCTCCAGTGTGTGCCTTATTCCTCCAGTGTGTTGTGAGAATTCATGGCATAGTACTTACAATATACTTTGTGGTCCTTGAGAAAAAAAAAATCACCTGTATGGTTACATACATGGTCAGATTCCTGTATGGTTACATGGATGCAAAGCGTGGAAATAAAACTAAAGGCCAAGTTAGCCTTGGAATTTGTGGCTCTGGCTCTTTGCTAAAGCTGTTATTTATTTATTTGTTTAACAGTGTTGTATTCATAAATGTTTACCATCAGTTCTCTAGGAAAGAGGCCCTGATCTTTACATCTGCCAGTTCCTGTGGTGTAAGGCCAATTTCATGCCCATGTAATATCACTGAACTCGGAATTTGTAAAAGATGCACATAACCAGTTCCCCAAACACTTGGCTCAGAAACACCTTTGGATTTTTAGAGATTATCTTCTTCAGATTACTTTAGAAAGGCAGATTTACAGAGAGAGGGATAGACAGAAAGAAAGGTCTTCCTTTCATTGGTTTACTCTCCAAGTGGCTGTAACTGCCAAAGCAGAACTGATCAGAAGCCAGGAGCCAGTAGTTTCTTGTGGGTCTA